GTGTGTGTGTGTGTGTGTGTGTGTGTGTGTGTGTGTGTGTGTGTGTGTGTGTGTGCGCGTGTGTGTGGGAGTGTATGTGTGTGTTGTCACATTCGCTATACACTTGAAAAAAGCACAACTGTGCCAGACTGTTTCATCGGACTTTCACCGACTCTTCAGGAGGTTGAACCCTGACAGTCTGCCGAGGATGCATTTGACTGATGGATAAGGACTCGCCACAGAGTTAGCGCTACCCCTGAGAAAAGTGGTCGACTGTACACCAACCTTGCAATCCTCTGTCTGTGTTCTGAATTATCACCACAACTTCCCCTATTCCACACAGATGAGAAGATCCAAAGTCTTAGCAATTTTACCTCTATTGCAGACAATGAAGCATTCTTAAGATCAGCCACTCCACCAATGAAACAGTTTCTGGCTTGTAAAATCAATATCTATCCAAAACCACTGGCATCTTACCTTTATACAAGCAAATGCAGCACACTTGACATGGGTCAACCCAACAGTAAAACCAATATGTCGTTTTCTTGATTATGTTTTCATCAAGTAACACTGGGAGGCCTCCCATTTTTTTTGTTTTTGCAGTTCCCCTCTTACTGTGCCTATCATGTACAAGGCTGGCCACATTGATGATGGTTGATTGCCAGCTGCCCACATCCCCGTGTGCCTTTACGGCCCACTTGCACGCTATAAAAGGAGGCAGAGTAAAAGGGTAACTTCTGTTTTGTCTGTTCTCTTAATGACACTCATTCAGATGCGTTTACTGGAAGTATACAAGGACAGGGAGTACATAGTGGAGGGGAGGAGGAGAGAGAGAAAATAGAGGGAGAGAGAGAGAGAGAGAGAGTGTTCAGTAGGTTCTCTATACGCACCGTTGAAGCAGACCACTCTAGAATGACATGAGAGGTCAGTCAGTGTTCGGGTTGCAGGATAATTTTTGTAGAGTAGCCGTTGGCTATGGTAGGTGGCCACCCCTACAGACCGGACAGCACCGATTCAGGTGCGGACTGCGGAAGCATTGCATCCAATTCTCACAGTCGCAGTTGCTGCACCGAATGGCACACCGTAGACAGAAGTCACAGGCAACGTGGCTCCCACAAGCAAGGAACACAGAGGCACGCCGACAGCAGTTATAAAGGCATTGCCGTTCGAGCCCTTGTCTACAAAGTGGACATGAGATGTCAGGGTGCCGAACGTGAGTGCAATATTGACTGTCATCTTACATATGAAGATGCACGGGCCCTTCATAATCCTCAAGACACAATGCATGCAACCCACATGCTAGCCGAATCTCAGGTGGATCATCACAGAACGGCATTGAGCAGGTGTTTTGGGTTTCCTCGGCATTGATTCCTTCTCTATGGACCGATGACGACGACGGCTGTGGCAAGAGGGGGTCATCCAAAACAAGGTTGTCTAGCTGCTGCAGGATTTGTTCTGCAACAGTTTGTACTGGTGGTGTTAGCCCTTTAGCCCAGCGCTCTATAAGCGTTTTTTATGGTACTCTATTTTCCTGCTCAGGCAGCTGAGTTTGTCGTTCGTCGGGCACGAAAGAAGGAAATCCGATGGTGTTTACAGCAAGTGTATGCCCAACTCTGCATGTGGGACATGCTAAGAGAGGATGTGGCAGATGATGGCATCGTGGATAGTCCACGCAGCAGGCTGACGTTCGCAGCTATTGAAGCATTGCAGATTAAGGCCATGACAGCATATTGGGCAAGCCATTAGGGGGTCCGGGGGATGAAGACAAGACAAAGAGTCGCAGTTTTCGAGAGCTGGCACTGAGCAGAGAGGACCATCCCTGTGACCATGCCTTCATAGTGTTCTGAGCAGAGACTATCCACTGTGCATGCTAACCGAACTGTGGTTGTGTGGCCACAGAATGGAAGGGCGTAAGGAGGTTCTTTCATTTTTTGGAGCAGAATCTGTCCGATCTACACAGGGAGAGGACACTGCTTGGCCATGTGCACGGGAAGGAGGTGATTGTGCATCCGGATTGCTGTCCAGAGACTGAAGCGCTTGCGTCTGCGAAGTAACATACTGTTCCTGATGGACAATCCAAATTGAGTGAGTATTTGCTACTTGGTTATAGAAAGAGTTAATACTACTCACCGTGTGCACCCTACAGCCATTGTCCCATAAGGCCCATGAATTATCTGCAAAGTTCACCGTGCTTGGTTATAGAAAGAGTTAATACTACTTACTGTGTGCACCCTACAGCCACTGTCCCATAAGGCCCATGAATTATCTGCAAAGTTCACCGTGCTGAAATGACCTGGACGATGCAGGATGTACACACAAATATTTGAGTCCATGTCAGGCATGTGGTTCCGGGGAGAAGGCTGCAGTTGTAGTCTTCTACCCATAAATGCCATAGACGAGACTTCTATGTTCACTCCAGGACCAGTACTGTCATCCTCTGGGCAGACAGCACGGTGCTCTTCTTCTATCCAGCGTACAATATTCGCGAAATCAGAAACTGCATAAGGGTTCCCTCAACACCCCATGTGGAAACCCACCCCCAAGCAGAAGTTTACCGTGGCCACCGATGCACATCATCGCCACCGTCACCTACCATCCCCCCCCCAGTTCAACGCCCACAAACTTCGGAGAGCAAAAGCTTTCCCGCCCATTTATGACAAGCCTGAGCGTCAACGTTTCTTTTTTTTTTCCTTCTCCGTTTCTCCTTTTTTTGTGTTTTTAATTTTTTTTTTTTTTCGATTTCTTTGCTTTATAAAGGCCAGGTTGTTGTACAGGCCGGATGGCAGACATGATGCTTCCTTCTCCGTTTCTCCTGGGTTCAGTACAAAATTCTTGCTTCGAATTGCAGAAGCCGACGTGAAAGCCCACTCCCAGTGCCCTCACTGACGCCGACGCAATACTCAACCCGAAGGAGAAACATCCCTAGCATTCCCATGCAGATAATCTACGACCACAAATATTCAACCCGAAGCAGAAACGTCCCTGGGTCACCGATCTACCTAAAGATTTTCTACCTCCTCCCAAGCCTCCCGATCCACATAATCGACGATCACGATTTTGTACCTGCTCCCAACCCCGTCCAGGCTGTCCCCATACCCAACAAACCCCAAACCTGGCGTCTTCGCCGATCTACTCCATCGCTGGCACCCATTTCAGACCCCCCCATCAGACGGTCCAAAGACAGTTCGGACAAATATGACTAGAACGCCCGAACCTTGACACTGTGCAAACCCTGCGCATTTCCAAACGACGGTGGCGGATTTGATCTGTCATCCCTCTTTGAAAACCCACGAAAACAAAGAAAACAAAACAAAGAAAGACAACAAAAGCCAGAGAAAAGAAACCGCAATCGCAAATAACGCCGCACAAACACACCCAGCGGCCGATCACGAATACCGGCAACAGATTGTACATCCAACGTCTCACAGTCTGTCGTGCCTCTTTGAAAACTCACGATCTGCACGTTTCCCAACGCTGGTGGCGGAGTCGATCTGCCATCCCTCTTTGAAAACTCACAGAAACAAAAAAAACAAACATAGACAACAAAAGCTAGAGAAAAGAAACCGCAACCATTCCGACGGCCGATCGTGAATACCCACAACACATTTTACATCCACCATCTCACAGTATGCAATCTTCGTTCATATCGAACGTCCCAAAATAGCGTGGCACGCATCGACGTTGTGGAAAGTTGTAGAGCCCCCACGGCAGTGCGATGAACACCGCACGGCCAAAACACAACCAACGGTGCCAAGCACGCGGCCCCCAGCTGGAAAGCTTTACTGTTTTGGGAGACAATTGTAAGCGAGGAGACTTACATTGATAGCATAGTACGCACAGTGGCCTTGCTGTAGCACTATGAGATCGTCTGATTCTGCTGGTTGTGCGGCAGAGGGCAGTTCATTCAGTTCTGTGGATTGCATGGCAGGCGGAGATCCATTGTGGTCTTGATCGTTTTTGTCAGGTTCCTCCGTTTGTGTCAACTGCATTGGCTCTAGCACACGCCCCGGAGAAAGGTCATCTTCAGTCAAGGGCTCCATCAAATGATCAGAAGGCAGGTCATTGACCATTGGGGCCGGGGAGCATGCGAGGTCAGGTGGGGGAGAAATGGGTGGGTCAGATGCAGGTAATTGAGGCTGATCAGCCGCACTTGTACTTGAGGTGGCTGCCAGTCGTGCAAAAGCTGCACAGGCAGCCACACCCCGTGTCTGCTGCACATGCAGGCCCGTAATGCTGAAGAAATCGTCGCCAAATTGTTGGCATCGGACTCGATTTGTACTGTTCCCAGCTAGTGTGTATTGAGTGCGTCGTTGTCGTTCTGTACAGTTGCGGGCATGGCATCGGAGCAGATCTCAAGCCCCTGCAGGGGGCGCGGTGATCATGCTGTCCATGGACAAACGAGGTCGTTGTCTTGGAGACGATGGTGGAGACTGGGAGTGCCTCCGCCGATGAGGTGTCTGAGACGGCCGACTTAACGGTGGATGCCTTGGACGAAGGGGTCGCCACGACGGCTGATCTATCCAGGAATGTGTTGATGATGAAGATGATGAATCAGGCAAGGTAGAGGAGGAGAGGGGAGATGACGAAGAAGGTAGAGAAGAGGAAGAAGAGAAAGAAGACAAAGAAGAAGAAGCGGAAGAAGAAGAAGAAGAAGGGGAGGAAGAACTAGTAGAGGAGGGTTAGATGAATGGGGGGATAATGTAGAAGATGTCGGAGGGGAAGGTGGTGGCGATGGTGACGGGGATGATGATGATGGTGGTGGGAGTACCGGTGGTGGTGGCGGTGGGGGAGGAGGTGGTAGTGGTGATGGTGGTGGTGGAGGAGGAGGAGGTGGTGATGGTGGTGGTGGTGGTGACTGCGGGAGTGATGAAGGAGCTACCCTCTACCCTTTCTGCAGCGATAACCGCATTGGTAGGAAGCTGGCCTTCATCGCCTACAGCAACCCAGCAGTGTGTGCATTGCTTGTTGCTGCTGGCCCGTTCTCCGGCTGGGCTGGCGTATCTACATTGGTGTTTGCCAGTTCAGCAGGAATAACAGGATGGGGTAGACGTGCTGTGTGGAGGGCTGATATCGTCTGGTGTTCAGGAGTGGGTGATGGCCTGTTGCATGTGGTCGGGAGGGTCTGTATGCAGAGTGTGCATTCAGCAGTGGGTTAGCAATCCCCCAGCGCACCATGCGGCAAAACCAGTTCGAGAGTTGTGTGGCATGAGTGGGTGGCCGGTGATGCCCAGCGCACCATGCGGCAAAACCAATCGCCACTTTCATCAGCACTATGAACAATCCAGCACCGTCAAACACCAACCTGTTGTTCCCCCGCGCGCTCGCCCTCGCCCAACAATTCGCACTATTTATGAACGGCCTCGTCACAAACCATTGGCTAGCACAACGASTACTACRTTGTATCTAAGCGCTGCTTTGCAAGGAGTGATCTCTACTCTTCGCAAGAAAAATATCGAGCTCTATCAAACACYGTTATGTGTTGTTACTCCAAGAATGCTACAAAGAGCTGGAGGAGATTTGTGAGCTTTCAGCACGTAGTAAAGGTAATAAAGGTAAGGTAGGGTACC